CTGTGAGGCGGGAACACACTCTGAGAGATCTGGTAGGGGAAAAACTGGCGATACCGGTGCCGGTGCAGATGCCGCATTTTCATTTGTTATGATGTAGACTTCACGTAGGGCAAATATTCAGGACGTTTTGAGCACTGGGTCAACCAAGCGATCCAATGTGTAAATATGTCAATAAATATATAACGAATGTATTATATTCCCACACGATGTTTTTTCCGGCGGCTGAATTCAATTTGATTAATAATGTTATATTTTACAATTTTATAATCCTAACTTTTAAGTACAATGCAATTTTTCAAAGTGAATTTATGAAATCTAGTGAAGGGTTTCTCACGACTTGAAACATTGAACGCGCGCGCGTATGTGTGTGGAGGGCGGTACATTGCAGTTGGCCAATTAGTCCGTAATTCAACATCAAAATGTTTTGGAACTTCTCTTACGGTGTTAGTGGGAAATCTGTTAAGCTTTGTTTAAAACAAACTATTATCAAGTTTTAAACAGTATTAAGTTGTTTAAAACAATCATCCAATTTACAAGGTAAATTAATCAAGAATAAACCTATTAATAATCATTGGTTTGTACATCTACTACGTTATGATTTCTTCCAGTAGAGCCACTTCAAATTTGGCATCAATCGGGCCCAAATGTACTTTGGTTAATTCGTTTTCAATTTTCCGATCTTCAAAGTCTTCAAGGAGTCAATCCGAAGCTTAGAAAAGCTCATTAAAAGAAGCCCACGCTTCGTTTACTGGACACAATTTCACGTAATCGAGATTTTATCTAACTAATTATTTAACTTTCTTTATCTAACTTTTATTTCACTTAGCCTAACAAATTAGCACTATGTACATTAACGATGATTACGTATGCAATTATTGTGAATACAGTCAGTAACTTAATTTCGTGGATACTCTAAATACAATATACATGTCATTTACGGAGAAGTTACGTTGTCTCGAATATTTTATAAAACGCAAAAAGTGCACTGATTTGTTGAACATTAAACCACGGCTTCCTTCGCCGTTGCCAACTCATTGGAAACGCTTTCTCACTTTTGATTTGTTTGCCAAGTGGAGGAATCCGTTTCTGGTTCAACCGATGACTGGTAAACGAGGGCTCAAAGGCCAACTGCTATGGAAGCCCGGACGCAGGCGGGAAGAGGGTGACGAAAACAGCTTCCAGTGGTGCAACGGGGATGTGGCGGAGAGAATAATGTTTCCGTCGATCGAAATAGAAGCGAGGCCTCGGGAGAAGCGAACGGGAAGTCGCGAACGCAGACGTGCCTGTTGTACACAACGGAAAGGGAAGATCGACGAGGATCGAGTTGTAATAATTGGCGTAAATAGAGAATGACTGATTGATTGTTTGATTAGTGGTTCCGTCAGCCGCTAAGGTCGCTAGTCCCTTAAGTCTAGTGCTTGTTTTCATATCGGGAGTTTGCGGTGATCGCCCCTCGCTGCATGCCGACCTCCGACGGCTTGTAGGGATTTTTCCCAACTAGGTATCTCCCACCAGCGTGTCACCGCAAGCAAGCTCTAAGCTCCCAACTGGTCTCCCAAGAGTGCTAGTGTTGCGCATGTGGGTGTACGTGTAAGTAAGGGGTGATTTTAGGACAAGGGAGAGGAAAGAAAGATATCGCGCAGTCGGTGGCCCGTTTGTGGGTACTGCTCCGGCATTCGCCTGATGTTG